TTTTAGGGAGAGTAGAAAATCCAATTTATGTAGGAAATATTTAGACAGCGCCCCTTCGAATACGAGGTTAATATAAATATGGGCAATTATGTAGTGTGTAAAATTAAAGAAGAATAGAGTTACTCATTTGAATTATTTAATATTGAAACCCGATTACTCGAAAAATATATTCAACTCACTCTTCTTGTGGTGTTTCTTCCTTCCAGAGGAGGAGCCTACAAAATTAAACAATACATATTGTCTGGTTCTTCCTTTCAAAATCTTTGAATTTATGAATTAAATACCACTACCTACAAAATAGAGACAAATTGTATGTATATTTCATGGATTTGATGATACACCAGGACGCGATTGTTGTACAGAAATTTGAGTTTTTTTGCGATGTACCAAGTTTTGTCAATATTCTATCAGAAATGCTAAGCTTCGTAATGATGAAACCAAACGTGGTTTTGTTTGTTTGTTTGTTTGTTTGTTGGGGGTTGTTGGGGTGTTGGGTTGTTTGTTTGTTTGTTTGTTTTAAAAAATGATTGAATTAAGTTTTCAGTATTGTTTCCTAAGGTGAAGGGTGGTCATGGTATATTGTAATGTCATTTAATGTGATTCAGCTAGATAATCATCAGATCAGGTCATCATTATTTGGCACTAGCGGTAAAAGATCCAACGTGCGAGAAATTAGTGTCTAAAGTTGTCGTTTAAAATTAATTTGGCAACAGAAATTGGAATCAAAACATTTTTTCACAGGATCGATTAAACTGTGATACTCACTGCTACCGTGCTTCTTCTTCAAATGGGATTCTATGAAATAAGGAAGAAAATGGACTCCATGTTAATATAAATTATATTTGAAATAGGCTTTGCACTGCCAAATGTCATATATCTGTTATAGAAAATAGAATAGGAACAGTTCTCCTATTTTACTCATGTATAAATTCAAATTCTTTGCTCCGAATTAAGTTATGTGTTAGAAAGTTATATAAGTGAGAGAAAAACAGAGGCTTACACGTTTGTTTTCTTTATGCTGAAAATGATCCATATCTTACAGCACAAAAATTAAAAAAATCATTCCTTCTTTATCGGGTTACATTTTATAATTATTAAATGATAACAAGAAATGTTCAATTATTCTACAATAAAATAGGAACAGTGTTTCCACTTTACTCATATACAAACTCAAATTGTTTGCTTCAATTTAATTTGCAATCAAGAAAATTATATAAGTGAGAGAAAAACCAAGTCTACGACGTTTTATTTCCTTTCTGCTTAATATGATTGATGTCATCTAACAGGAAATGAAACGAAAGTTCATTCTCTTTGGGTTATATTTCCGTCTTGTTAACTGATAAAAAGAAAGTTTAAATAGAAGGAAAGAGTAAAGTGTTCAGGATAATTAAGTTCAAGAAAAATGTTGGAGTAAAGCGTGTTGATGTCCATCATTGTTAACCAAGCATTTTCAAAGGCTGTAGTTTTAATCCTGATGTTAACCCATCTTACAGCCGTGGGGTGCGTATTCCAACCCCCGTCTTTGAAGAAATCAGTTGTTAACAGTTAATTCCCAGATCTTGTTGCCCAAGCCATGTTTCCAATTTTTCAATGGAAGGACTTTCTGGTTGGACAAGGAGAGACTTCCTTTAAGTTGAATAAGAAATCGTGCTTAAACGCGAATGAAATAAGTCAAAATACGTTTTGAGAATTGGCTTTACAACCATTGAAGGACGTCAATTGCCAACATTGTTTGAGATTAATGAATGAATTAACGAAACGAAACTACCAGTGTTAAACACAATGTTCGCACCAAAATTAATTCACAGAACATTTGTGGGAAAACTTACCTCGTCTTTTACCGTGCTTTTTCTTCAGATACTTTCCGTACTTTCCTATTAATAGTTATTCGAGTGGTTTAAAAGAAATAATTTGATCAAATTATTTGTCGGAAAAATGTCTTCAATAGTCAGAACTTTAAAGATTGGGGAAATCTAATTGAAACACCCATCACCCCTGTAAATATTGAAATAAAGCCATTTTGCAGTCAAAACATAAAGCGGGCGTTTCACAATAGTGAGCTTCCAAAAGTTTGCAACGCATTGGCCAATCACAGCGCGCGAAATCTGCCGACCCTTTCAAATTGCGCATTAGGTGGACAGATTTTCGCGCATTGTGATTAGCCAACGCGCTGCAAACTCTTGGAGGCACTCCATTGTGAAAGGCCCGTATTTGCAGAGTGGGTATTATACAGCCTGAAACCCGTCAGGACAATTAGCCTCTTACCTCGACATCTTCTCCTTGGTTTGTATTCCACTTTGCACCTCTTCTTTTTCTGGGCTTTCAGTTTCAGAGATTCGCAGGTGAACTTCTCGTTGCTCTTTTTTATATACTTAGTCAGTAATCTCTCCTCTCCGGATGATGTTATAATCAGGAGCTTGAAGCCGGTTGTGATGAAATCCACGGCAAATTTCAGCTTCTTATGGCTCATACACCAATTTGGAAATTTGACGGAATTCAGTTTCATGCCCTTATCATTCTGGACTTCCAAGTGTGTTATCAACGTAACTATTAAAAAAAGAATAAGAAAGACGACCTATCAAACTTGGTACTATAACAGCAGCTCCACTCGATAATCTCAGAGGAAACGTGACGTGTTTTAGCCTCGAACCTTTCCTGAATATCGAGATTCTTACCTATTTTGATGTTTCCACTGGACGATAACAGCGTGAACTCTAACGGGTCGTTGCGGTCGATGACAAATTCCTGTTCCAGCTTCCTGTTAACCTCACGACTGATGATGAGCTCGTGGCTACCTCCGTCGGTTTGAAAAACTTTCCCTTCCTTATCAGGTTCTTCTTCCTCGTCGTCTTCTGAGATCTCTGGGTAATTAAGGAAATTGTGATCACGGGAATCGCAATTACCACTAACGTGTAGACCGTTTGTGCAACAAATATAGGAATGCCTATATCCTAGATTGATACGGAACATATTGTAAGAAGGAGCGGTTAACCAAGAGGTTGGAGAAAGAAAGATTCGAGTTCAAACCACTCTACTCTGACAAGTTCTCCCGTTATCATCAACACAAGAGTTTGGCATTTCTTTCTCGTTTGCATTGGAAACGGTGGTCGTACTTACCTACGCAATCACACATCTGGCAGCCGTTCGCGTCCCTTTCAAAACCTCCCGGACAGTTCAGACTACATTGTGTATCCGGACAGGCTGAAAAAAGACACGTTAGAATCTGTTAATATCAAATTGAAAGAAAAGTGTGATTTGTTGTTAATGAAAACATGTCGTTTGCCAACCATAACTTCAGGGGCTCGTTTGCCTGCTGAGAGTCACTTACTGTACAAACCTTTCTTACTAAAAGAAAAGGCATTCAATAACCGCGTTTCATTTTGCATTTGGCTGTCTGTCATTCGTCATATCACATGTTTACAACACCATTATTTCATCTACCTCTGCGAAAGTTACTGTACTATCGTCCTCGGTAGGTGGATTCCCTTCAGGTGGCGATGGCAAAGCATTTAAAAGCCATTTAACAAATGTCGAATTAGGGTTATGAAAAAAAATTCACCCACACACAGTGACAACGATGACAACATAGCAACCTTCCCCTTCATACCAATGCTGAACCATTAATAACAGCCCATCCCCAAATACCGGAAATAATTCTCGTGGACAAGACTCTTGCAAGTTACTACTTTCTACATTCCTTTGCGTTTTGAATAGTTGTAAAATGCTGGTCGAACTGGAAACCGGTCAACAGAAAGGTTTTTCTGCAAAACTTGACTTGTCAGTATTGTTATTAAGCCCTGGGATTTCGGAATCGACCGAGTCAAACGAAAGACGACAGCTGATCGTTACAAATATGACAACAGGGGTCGTCATGGCTAGTTGCTACAATTAGGCTTCACGACTTGGTCGCCTTTTTCTGGCATTGAATACTAATGTGGAGTGTCAGGGAGCTTTGCGTTTAGTGTCACGGACATATTCGGAATAAATCAAAGTTATCTTTGCCTGAGAACTAGCTTTACGAAGTGGTATCCTCCAGTTAGCCAAAGTAAGTCTGAAAAGAACTACGATACCGTTCCCAGCTAGTACTCACCTGGGCACTGACTAAGGTGTATCTCCTCCACAGTGACTTCACATAGTTGCAGGGTGGCTCTGCCGGGGATATCCACGCTAACGTAGCGCGCCCTGAACGCTGGCTCACAAGTAAACTCTATCGTACTGCCTAGTGGTTGGGCTTGCTTGGCAGTCACGGGCGACCCACAAGTTGGGTTGTCGGTGATTGTTGTGCTGTCACCAGCGCGAACAACTGCGCCCTTCAAACGTTCGCCTGTATTACAAAATTAGGTCAGATTGAGGAAAATACCCTTACATATCATAAAGACATGAAATGGCTTTCATTTAGAGGAATTTCTATTGGAGGTAATGAAGCTGTACGAGGCCAAACCCTCAAGAGCAGATTCTAGGGGGCAACAGGGTCCATGGATCCCCCCAAAAAGGAGGGTCAATTTTTGACCTATTTCATATCTTTTCTTTCAAAATGATCGCAAAAATGCCCTAATTAAAGTGGCTTTACCCCTCAAAAGTGCCAAATAGATTAAATGAAACATTTTGACCTCCCAAAGGCCAATTTTTATGCCCCAAGGAAATTTGGATTTGGATCTGTCCATTTTCATTCAATATGGAAGAAAATGTGATTTTGGTTTGTTGGACCACCTAATTTGATTGAGGAGGAATCCAATACTGACAGCGTTTCCATATCTTAGGTTTTTGATATCAATGGAGAGATGACATGTGTGTTTTAATTCTTGTTTATTCGTTGGATGCTCAAGACTTACTGCAGCAATCTCCCCGGTTCAGAATTCGTATTTTGCTGATGCAGTGCTCTTCTCCGAGGTCCACTCTCCACCATGGATTTGGCTTATCCGCCTCTGAGTGAGCAAGAAGAAAGGGAGTTCGAGAAATCATAAGCAGAACACAACTCTTTCATTACAAAATTGGTTTTGGTCCAGCCTTTTTGACTTTCTAAAACAGACGCGGTGGACTTTCTGAGCTAAACTCGGTGTTATCTCTATTTCAGTGTTATCACTTCTTATCAAACTTATAATCCAAAAAGAATAAGAGATTTCCAAATTTCAGGCCTACATAGAGGTTTTCAAGTTTGAAAAAAATGTTGTTTTTGTTTTTTTTGGCGAGGTATGTGGCCAACCCATCGCAGCTGACGGCGAAGCAGCAGAACTTCCAGTGGTCCAGTGGGGGCATGCCACCATTGCTCTCCCAAGATGCAGCTAGGCAGCTGTTGTAGTACGCCTGCAGGGTTCAGATTTGCAATCGGTACGGAGTCCAGGCCCACAGCCGTACAAGAGGATGGACACGCCAACGACACTGAAGACCGCCGTTTTCGCACCGAAGGTCAGCGGGAGAGACTCGACGGGAGAGATTAACAAACGCTGACGCTGACGCAGCACGACAGTTTCTTCGTTGGATTTTCACACCGAGATCAAGATTATCAGATAGCTCCATACCGAGGTAAACAAAGGTGTTGCTATTTTTAGCTCCTGCTCCCACACGGTGAAAGTAGAGCACGCGCATCACTAAGGCCAGGAATGGATTAAATAAGACTGGAGCAAGTCCACAGCCCTGTTTCACGCCCATAGAAATAAGGAACGACGCTGACACCTTTCCGGAATAATGTACTCGGGCAGCCATGTCGGCGTGGAAAGCGTTCAGCAGGCAGTGAACCTTAGAGGACAGCCGATCTTGTGAATAACGCCCACAGCAACTCGAGGTCAAGCGTATCGAATGCCTTTTTTTTCAGAACGATAAAGGCGGCGCACAGGTCGCAGTGCTGGTCCCCGCATTTTTCCTGTATTTGGCGCATGACAAAGATCATGTCTTCAGTCCAGCGCTCGCGACAAAGGCCACACTGAGACTCGGGAAAGACATTGTCCACTTCTTAATTCGGAAAGCAAACGGTCCAACATGACTCAGGCTAAGACATTTCCAGCAGTGGATAACAGCGATACGACACGACTGTTTCCGCATACGCCCTTTCGCTTATAGATGTCAGCAATATTGGCACCCTTCCAGGACTGTGGCACGGCTCCAAAGGCATTCAGAAGGCTATGGAGCTCAGCTGCGAGGGTAAACCCGCCATACTTCAGCAACTTGGCTGGTACCTGGTAAGGCCCAGTGGTCTACAATTTACCAGGTGGTTTAAAACCCACCCAGTGAATCCCAGGAAAAACAACTTTTGAATAAAGTAAGTCTGAATGCAATATGGCTAAAATCAAAACAAAAAATGGGGTTTCCTAATGAAGAGATTGGAGGAACTAACAAGAAATATTGAGCGATTTATTACTGTCGTAGGCAATTTCCAACCAAAGACATAATCTTAATTGGTCGTTTCGACAAAGAAACTACACAGAAATTGCTTCATACTGCTCTCGAAGGAGAGAGCGGAAGGAATCGTCTTACCGGTGTGTGTGCAGGTGTTATCAGGTAACAGGCGAGCTGAGGGGCTACCGTCCACTGCCTTATCCGCTTTAAATCTTGGGTTGAGGGTTGTGCTTTGCTCTGTTGGCTTACCGACAATGCTAAACGCCGTTGAAACTATTTGAGAACCTGTACAGAAGTTCAAAAAAGCCACGTGTGAGGTATTATGCAAAGTACATACAGTTTGCTATCCTCAAGGATTACTCAACATAACGAAACTCTTTAATACGGCCGTTCAACAATGGCACCACCAAGAGTTTGCAACGCGTTGGCCAATCACAGTGCGCGAAATCTGTCGACCAAATGCGCGTTTGGAAAGGGTCAACAGATTTCGCGCGTTGTGATTGGCCAAACGCGTTGCAAACTCGAGGAGGCGCACTATTGTGAATCGCATGTAATACTGTTAAAGTGTGATTAAACTTTCAGTGCTGCAGTTCTCACATTTCATCACTGTTGATTCGATCTTGCAGCTGATTACAAGATTTTTTGTCTACACTGTACTGCAGTACATGGGCATTCCAAAAAGGGATTCTTTAAGTTGGTTTTGCCTGTTGACAGCCCAATCCATATTTCCTTACAATAGGAAATACAATAGACAACCTCTTAGTTTGTATTTTACGTCATTTGTAGCGAGTCTGCCGGTTGCACCTGAATGGGAACGAAAAGTCTGTTATTCGTCGTATTACAGGAGAGGATGGGGGAGGGATCAGACCTGTCAGATTTTTTAACATTTCTTTTAGTTTACTGTTGTTCTTTCAGTTTGAATACATGTTTCCGGTGCCAAAGCGTGGGGGCGTTAACTCTCAATCCGAGATCTACTCCTGTATCACCTGCGAATCCATTTCACCTGCCTGTTCAAGAGTCGTCCGGATAAATTCGTATGTGGGTGGGTTTATAGCAGGTGGCAGAGGGTAAAGTGGTGACAATTATTCGAAACAGTCATATTGATATCACAAATTAATCCCCACCGACAGAAGTCGGAGAGTAAGCGCAACGGTAATATGTCGACCTCTGGACTATTGTCCTCGTACCCAGGAAGTATTACGTGCATACTATGCCAGGGACAACCGATTGTGAGTAGACAAACAGTGTTCGTGCTAACGTGCCCACTAATATAGGTACAATTCATCCTCAGTGGTTGAAACTTTAAGCCTTAGTGAACGAGAGATGATAGTGGTCTCAAGAGGAAATGTATGTAACTAAAAGCAAGGTATTTACGAAGAATCTGGCATTAAACACTTCTTCAAAAATTCAAGCTCATTATGGTATCAACATACGATTCCCGAACAAGGAGCAAAACATACCTTATCGTCGTGAGTTCTGTCTTTCTTCCATACTATACCAGGGACAACCGATTGTCACTAAAAAAAAAAGTGTTCGTGCGAACGTGCCTAATAATGAAGGTGAAATTCATCCTCAAAGGTTGAAACTGTACGAGCCTAAGCGAACGAGAGATAATATTGGTCTGAAGAAGTAATGTGTACAATCTTTGGCAGACAGTTCCACGCACAGATTGGACTCATCAGCCATCTCTGAAGACACTCTATCAATCAGCAAGTTTGAAGTCATGGTCTCAATGAGGGTATTTTATTAAGCATACTGGCACGGGCAAGGACCTCCGTATCGGGTATGTGATCCTGCCATCTAATTCTCATCAGCCTACAGAGACAGGCAGTACGAAAATGGTTCAGCTGCCGGCTAGGCATGTGTAAAGAAGTGCAGTGATAACTACAGCTTGGTAAACTTTGAGATTGGTACTAAGCCTGACACCCCATCGCTCCCAGATAGCTTTTTGAAGCCTCCCAAAGGTACTGCTGGCCTTGGCGATTCTGCTTTCGACTTCTTCGTCAATATTCGCCTCATGTGACAGAGTATTGCCTAAATATGTGAACACATGCATATTATTAAGACCAGTACCTTTAACTGTGATGTTGGGTTTCTGGTGGGGCTTACCAGGGCGGGGTTAGCACGTAACTTCAGGTTTCATAATATTTATGATCAGGCCGAAGTTGTCCCATGACTTGGAAAGCCTATCAGTAATAGCTTGCATACATTGACTTCCCACTAGTGGCATTAAAGCACAGTTGTCAGCGAAGAGGAAGTCCCTTATGACTGTCTCTTTGACCTTTCTCACTGCATGCAGTCGGCGCAAATTAAAGAGCTTCCTGTCAGCCCTGTACCGGATGGCTATTCCTTCCTTGCTGTCATAGAAGGCGTCAGTGAGCATAGCAGAGAACATAATACTGAAGAGTGTCAGTGCTGAAACACAGCCCTGCTTTACACTGTTTGTCACGGGGAAGGCATCTTAGGTTTCACCGTCATCCTGCACACGGGCTGTTATTCTGTTATGAAACTAGTGTATCATGTTGATGAAGTGTTCTGGAAGTTTTAAATTGGCCATGATTTTCCGCAAGCCTTCTCTACTTACTAAATCAAAGGCCTAGTGAGATCAACGAAGGTGATATACAGGTCCCCGTTCTGTTCTGGCACTTCTAGAGTTGCCTTGCTGCAAAGATCATGACCACTGTGCCTCTGCCAGAGCAGAAGCCACATTGGCTTTTGGGGAGGTAATCCTGTTCGAGATGCAGGGTGAGGCGGTTGAGAAGGACTCTGGCATGGATCTTTGCGGCTATGGACAGGAGAGATATCCCTCTGTGGTTGTCACAGGACTTGCAGTTTCCTTTTCTTTGTACAAAAGAGGCATCCTTAGAGTCTTGTGTTATAACACCCTATGCCCACATGGATTGGAAGGTGGGCCTCCTGACGTGTATTTTTTTAGGGGCATTGCATCAATGCCTGGTGCCTTTCCTTTGGTCATTTGGATTCCAGAGTCTCATCAAAGGTGGTTGAAGCATCCAGCTTCAGCTTTACTGGGGTCTGTGGAAGGCATTGGATAGATTCGTCGTTGATGGGGGACAGTCGATTCTATTCAAAACAGCAAAAACGATCCAAAATCTTGAAGTTTATCATTCATCAGAGTTGACGCGCCTGCACTGAGAAGGGGACAGGGGCGGAGGACTGCGGTCCATGGAGAGCTTTTATGGCATTATAGAAGCGCTTAGAGTCTTTACTGTCCACATAGACCTGAATTTCCTCAGATTTACTGCTGATCCAGTCATCCTACATCTTGCAGAGCTTGGCCTGGAATTCCCTGCGGATGCTGGTGTAGGCTGCCGTCTTAGTGGCTGATGTGGGGTCATTTAGGCCTATAGCAATTCTGTAAATGCGGTGCTTTTCAGCAAGGAGATTCAAGATTTACTCATCATTCCCGTCAAACCAGTCTTGGTTTTTCCGTGTTATGTACATGTATACACACATAGTCTCTATACGTGTTGCAGATTATGTAATGGTACCACACACGATTCCATGTGTGACCCGCGTTGACCCAGGCCACGGTGAATGACCTAACTGTAGTCTAGGATATTCTGGTGGTACCCTCCGGCGATTTCTTGTAAGCTTACGATAATTCCAGTTGTCTATAGTCTGGAGGTTTCTTGTAAGGTTAAGTAATTCTAAAAAATCTATTTCAAGAAACATAATGAAAAGTTTGTGGGAGCATCAAACCCGTATTTGCCACGGTCATCACACCCTCGCCGTTTCGTCTCGAGCCCGGTCATTCTTATTCGACGTGATCTTTGTCCCCGTTGCAGCTCGTCTTTGCACCGTCAAGGAATAGAACTGATGTTCGCCATCTGTGGAGTCCAGCATTGTTCGCCGTAGTGCCTGCTAAGCTCTTGCCCGTAAGATCATCTTCTTATATAAGATATTTTCTTGATTCTTTATCCTTATCATTGTAGTTCCATTCAACATTTTCTTCTATTATCATTTTCTTTAACATGTTAAGTGTAAATTCTCATTAAAGTATAATTATTTATTGGTTCCCCATATCAGAGTGATCTTGTTTGACTTCTTTGTTGCATTGGATAAAATTCAAGGTTAATAATTGAATAGACTTGAGTTTTTTTCAGATTGTAACATCCGCTTTACAGAACCATGGCACTTTAGGGCGGTTGAGGACACCGCCTCCTTGGATGCAGACCAGTCATCCTCCGTCAGGAGACTTCCTAAATGAAGGTCTTCAAGTTTACTCTCCAGGTCACTGGCAAGGCCCATCGTAACCTCAAGCAGCACGAGTTTGGACACATTTAGCTTTTTGTGGGTCTTCTTAACATGAGGTCACCGGTTTGGCACGATGTGGAGCTTGATTTGGATACGATCAGCCGCTGGTCTGTGCAGCAGTCAGCACCACACATGGCTTTGGTGATCTTTGTATTCTGTCTGTCCCTTCTCCTCGTGATGACACGGTCGATCAGATGCCAGTGTTTAGATTGAGAGTGCATCCAAGAAGGTCTACTGCGGGTAGGCAGGCGGAAGCAAGTATTAGTTATGAAAAGGTCAGGAATGGAGCACAAATTTAGGAGCAGAATATCATTTACTGTTACAGTTACCACACCATGAGGACCAGTCACACCATTCCAAGTTTGCCAGTCCGTGCCGATTTTAGCATTAAAATCACTTCTCTGACTTTGGAACTGCTGAAATGAGGGTATCGAGTTCTTCATAAAATTTGCCTTTGGCTTTTTCCGAATAAGTCATTGTTGGTGCGTATGTATTGATGATTGTTGCAGACTTGTTTTGGCCCAGAGGAAGTTTGAGAGTCATCAAACGGTCTTTTACCCCTTGGCAAGCTGGCAAGCTTTGACACACGGTGAGATTTTATTGCAAAACTAATTCCCGCCTCTCCCCGTTCCTCTTTGCTGCGGCCACTGTCTAGAAAAATATATAACAAGCACCATGTTCCGAGATCTGTCCCTCACTGGGTAAGCGTTTTGCTGAAAGCTGTGACGTCAATGTTGTTGCGGGCGAGTTCTCTAGTCACGAGTGCTGTGCGTCTTTCAGGTCTTTTAGCCTTGTCGTTATCCTTTAGGCTAGGGTTCGCACGTTCCAAGTGCCAAGAGTAAGTGAAACCACTTTGGGTTTCTTTACTTTCCTTATTCGACTGCGTTGAAGGGATTCCTCCAGCTGCAGTACGCTGGTCAGGTTGAGATGAGGCAGGCCATGTTTGGGGCACCTTGTCTAGCCCCGTCCTCTTGCTCTGGAGGCGAGTAGAGCGATCCTTAAGAGGGCTACTTGGTCGCTCGTGGGGCTGCCGGATTCCACTGTCACCTCAGTCCAATGGATAGCGACCGTATGGCCTGAGCCGGCTGTGTGCAAGTTTGTGACAGTAGCCTGAGTGTAATCCGCACTTTCTGGTTCGCCACTCCCCCATCACCACAGGGCTTTTGAAGTCATAACTTGCGCTACTGAAGTTAATTTGGGCGAGAAAGAATCGCGCAACATCAGCCTCACCCTCTCGTCCCAGATCATTCGTATCCAGTTGATGGCAGGACGGGATCAAGACAACTGGGATGAGCAGGGATGCAGGAGCTGCTGGGGGGTTAACATGAGACAAAGCCAGCCGACCGCCTGTAGGGCTCCACTCCAGATTTGTGACAGGGTTATCTCCCTGGCTGTTCATTCAATACCTGCAAAAAACGATGTTGCTAGATGGCCGTTCTCCCTCAGAAAGGATCGTCCGCCAATTGACAGGTCTTATTTAGCCTTTGCTATCTGCAGTGGTTGACATGTAATCAGGGCATATGGGCCTACGGGTGGGCCCATGTCTCTGGGGACCACTGCTGCTCCGAGATCCGCTGCAGAGTCAGCCTGGGGCTGCAAGATGCCCAGTTACCGTGTGCTGCCACGAAGAGGCACTACAGGAGTCTTTGTGTTGGAGAGGCTATGTACTGGCAGGGGAAGACTTAAAAAAAATCGGCTGCCCTCCCCGACCAGCGGCTGCAGCAGATGGTAGAAAGCAGGGAGTGCAATACCAACTTTACCAACTGCACTGCACTGGACATATCACCCTGTAGTAAAGCCACCAACACACTTAATACTAAGTAAATATATTATATATGTACGTAACTAATATAGTTTAGGTTGTGTATGTGATTTGTGATTTATTTCAATCATTTCCATTGCGATGTTAATAAAAATGTTTATTTTATGAGATCTCATGATCACTCCTTGTGATAAAATAGCTCATTTTGTTCGTTATGAATGTAGCTGTCCAGTGATGGTCAACATTATGTTGGACAGTCTTAGCTAAATTCGAACCAAGTCTTTGAAAACTAAAGTTTTGGAAGGACGGAAATAAAAATGCATACATTTCATGGATAGTGTAACGAAGCAAAAGTGTATTCCAGAGGCAAAGGTAGAGCTAATGTGAGACATATTTCCCTCTGGTCGCAACCATAAATTGTAGCTAATTGCAACCAAAACACCACAAAATATCGCTAAGATATTACTGGCTCCATTTGTCCTTAGCTAAGCTGGAGGCACTAATCGGACTTTACTGAACTGGGTACCATTTTACGAGAGAGTTTGATCTAAAAAGGCTGTTCTTGTTTTTAAATGTCTAAACAAATTGACTCCTATGTGTATGACAATCTATTTATGCCATTCACACAGATTCGTGAAACAAGAAACTCAGTTAACAAGGCACTTAAAGTCCCTTTAGCTAAAAAAGAATGCTACGCTCAAAGTTTTACCGTGAGTGGTGCAAAAACAAGGAACAATTTGCCAGAACAACTCAGAAGTATTGTACTCCTCAGGGACATTCAAATCAGAACTACGGAAAGTCATGACCAGTGCCGTGAAGTCCAAAACGCTGATCTATGGAGTAGTAAACTTGGTTGCCAATGTTCGCTGGAGCCGGATCGGGAATTTCCCCGTGTTCTTTTTTCCCATAGTGTTTTTTTTTTGGGGGGGGGGTTCACCCATTCCGTGATAAGTATTTAATTAATGCCTTGATTATTTAAATGTTCACTGTGTGTGATATTTTAGTGGTTTGCATTTGTAAATATTGATGTGAATTCTACTTTTCGTTGGGATTTTCCAACTATTTTATTAACTTGTAATGATCACAGGGCCCCAATGGAAACAAGTTTGTAACTGTTTGGGCATACCCTGGATAAAGAAATGGAATAAATAAATGAATAAATAAATAAATGTGTAAATAAACCTTGTGATATTTATATACCTCATTGATTTATTATTGCATTAAACCAATTACTTGATTAATTGTCCTTGGAAATCCTGTGTCATTGTGAGGCTGATTTAGGTTTTCCTTCATTTAATTGCCTTATTGCCAGATGGATCTTTCTTAAGCGGTGGTAAATTTCCACCAAACGAACTGCTCCTAAGCTTAGTCCGCCGCTCGTTAGCTGATATCCCCCCTTGTGTCTGGGTAGCCGCTCGTCCTTGCGCAAGGTTATTAAATATATTTGTGGGGTTAGGCCAGGTAAATCCCATCTTCTATCAGGCCGGTCTACTGGGCTCGCCACAAAAGGTGTCAGTCGTCCCGCCACAATATCCTTCCGTAAATCGAAAATGCTCTGCCTCCTTGCGAATAGAGGCAGATGTACCAACATGCATGCGAGAGGTACACAGATTTACAGGAATATCGGAAGCAGAAAGTCATTGTGTAGCACGGGCCATACCCAGTAACCTTTTTAATCCTTTCAATACAAAGCCACATTTGTCAACTTTTTCCGTCCCACGGTGCTATCTAATCGAGAAGAATTGGTCTCAGTCTGAACTTTTTCAAGATTACCAAAACTATTAGTAAGGGAACTGAGATGATCCTAAACATGAACTTTGAATAGCCTTCCACTACCGGTTTTTGCACGTGAGTTTTCTTATCCAATGGTTGCGGTATCAGTCAATTTTCAGAGGTCACTTTTCAGTCTGTGATACGATGAACTCCACGACCACTTGTATTCATTCCACACACAGCAGAAAAAAATGCTTATCACAAAATCAGACAGGACTTCTGAAGAGACTTCAACAGTGCCTCTGAACAAAACTCACTGCGCAAAAGAACGGCATTCATCACCCTGCAAAGGGTCTTTAAACACTAAGCGATATAGGGAGGGCTTGATAATGGTGAACAACCTGGCCCTTTATGCCAGTTTTGAGCTAGTCTTGCCCCAAAACTGCTTGCAGTGTTCCACTACACTAACTGCGAACCCATTAATAAGGGATCAAAACATACGTACCTGGTTCTATTTCACACTTGTCTCCACTATACCCTGGTTTACACTGGCACCTGTATCCGCCATTAGGCCGAGAGTGGCACTCTCCATGGACACAAGGATTACTGCTGCATGGATCTAGTATGAGACGAAATAAATAGTTCCTTCTAAGAATAACGCCCAAAATTTACAAAGAATATGACATGAAAGAATTCATTAAAAACTAATGCAATACTACTGCATCAGTTGTTGGATATCGATGTGTTAAACACTTAACGTAAGTACGCGGCAAATT